CAACTCACTTCAAAGCATGCAGGCTTACGTCTGCTGTGCCTACTCATCCTACAAACTGTTCTTCAGCAAATTAGTTAACTTTCCCCTGCTCTCTTCCCACCTTCTCCTGAGAATGGAGGGAGTGGGGAGGGAAACCAGCAACAAACACAAAATCTAGGCAGCCACCACCATCATTTGGACTGTTTAGAAGCACCTCTGCAGAAAGAAACACAAGAAAACAAAGGGCAAGACTGTGTGAACTTCTAACCCTCTTCCCTACATGCCATTTGGTGGGTGGGCGGCATGAGCTGGCACTTAGTTCCCTGAAGTGGGCGTCTTTATGGGGCCAAGTGACAAAGAGCCAAAGAGGGCAAGAACTCGTGAGCGCCCAATGGAAAAGTACCAAGAGCTATCTAGCTATTCTTGCCCGAGGGCATTTCTAGCTCACCTCTCCAAACCCCTCAGTGCCAGCCCACCCCAGGCCACTCTGATGGGGACCAGCCCTCCTCCATATAAGACAACTTTTCTTCTATAGCTGTTTTTTTCCCCATTACCCTCCCTTGTTGGCTTCTTATGTCCAAATGGAGCAACCCTTTGTTAGTGGAGGAGGGGCCAGGCAATGGCTGGGGATATTATTGTTTCTGAATTGACTCTTGCCTGCTGTTCTGCGTATAGCTTTTACAAATCCCACATTGGAGAATCGACACATTGAAAGGACAACATTGGTCAAAAGAGTGCCAGAGAGGAAAGTCATTCAATTGATCTCTGCGACGTGGTTTTCTGAATGCAGTCTACCTATGTGCATGGGGGATGGCAGTAAGTGATCTGGAAAGTACTAAGAGAACACAGGCGAACTATGCAGTGGGCACACGAAGGAAGTCCAGAAGGATTTACTTCTGGATTTACACGTTGGCTCCAGTATTTGGTAAGAGCTCTCTGGGAGAAAAGAGAACACGAGAGCGGTGAACAAGGAGGAGCAGTGACAATTGAATGGCCATTAGCTGAGGAGGCTAATGCACTTGGTTAATGGTTTGTGTGTTTGTAAACCGTGGCTCAGGAAGACAGTGGAGTTTTCTTCAAAGCATGATGAGTGTGGAGATGTGGGAGCTTAGACTGAACTGGGTTTTCCTCTAGCTATGACATGCTACATAAGAACCTTAACCTCGCTGACTGTCAGCAAAAGGAGACACCAAGATCTGCCTTTCTCAAAGGAGACAGTGATGAGGAAATGTTTCATAAAGCACACCATCATAGCTGCCACAACATTCTTTATATAGCTTTTAAATATGAGCATGAGGTTTTATCTGTTCAACAAATATAATGAGCATACATGAGGAGCTGGCCATAGGCAATGAATATTGTCTCCAATATTTACCAACAAGTTAACAGGAAAATATTGCAAAGCATGCTAATTTTTATGATGGATGACTCCAGACTGCATAGAAGTTCATGGAGGTGGCCTTTAGCCCAGGACCTGGCAAATTCCTAGAAGGCTTGAAGAAGGTGTAATGTTGTAGCCATATTTAAATGTGGTCTTCTTAGTGAGGACTGCACACTCATCTTGCTTAAAAATATAATACAGTCAGGCACTGGTGGCTCATTTCGGTCATTCTAGTTACTTAGGAGGTTGAGGTCTGAGGATTGAGGTTTGAGGATAGCTTAGGCAGAAAAATCTGCCAGACTCTTTTCCCCAATTAAAAAAATAAAACAAACCCAAACCTGGAAGTGTAAGTGTGACTAAAGAGGTAGAGTGCCAGCCATGCGAAAGAGCCAAGCCGTACGTTCATGCCCCAGTGCAGTTAGCAAGGGCACCATGCTACATGTTCTGCACCCCTCTTCTCACGCTTACTGCAATCAGACAGTTTCTTTTTTTTCTTTTTTCTTTTGGTCGGTCATGGGGCTTGAACTCTGGGCTTGGGCACTGTCCCTGTGCTCTTCAGCTCAAGGCGAGCGCTCTACCACTTGAGCTACAGCACCACTTCCAGTTTTCTAGTGGTTTATTACAGACAAGAGTCTCACGGACTTTCCTGCCCTGGCTGGCTTTGAACCTTGATTCTCAGATCTCAGCCTCCTGAGTAGCTAGGATTACAGGCGTGAGCCAGCAGCGCCCGGCTTCAGACAGTTTCTATGAGTTCATTTGCTCGTGTGTTGTGTCTGCCTCCCTCAACCAAAACACAAGCTCATAAGACTAAATAGTTTTCTCTGTTTCTCTGTGGCTAAATAGTTTATGCCATATAGAGGAGACTCAAAAGATAATTGTTGATAAAATATAAAACATAACTGTAACTGGAGCAGCCAAGAAGGCAGGAAAGAATATTGCAGGAGAGGCACTCCATAAGCGAAGGCGAGGAGAAGATGTGCTTGGGTTTGGCTAGGTTAGTATGTGTGGATGGAATATGGAAATTGAGATGGGAGGTGGTAGGGCCTAATCATGAAAGGACTGGTTAGCCATATTAAAGAGTTTAGACTTCCTTCTGGGGGTACTGAGGACCTTTGAAGTATGCAATATAAAAGTGATCATGAAAAGGTTGGCTTCTGCACAGGGGGGGGGATGGGAGACCAGGCGGAGGCCCCTTCAGTGCCAGTGTCCTGAGCTAGGACCATAGCAGTTTGGGTGAAGTGTGTTAGGAGGGGTAGGCCTTGATAGATTGACAGTGCAGCAAAAGAGAAGATGTCTCAGTGTTGAATGGTAAAGGCAGATTCATAGAGTATCATGGGTGAGAGTATCATTCATGGAGATAAAGAAGCCAACAGAGGAGGCAGGTTTAGGATGAAGGCGTTGCAGGTTCAAGGTGGATCTTTTAGCTAAACCTGCCTGGTAAGCATTCACATGTGTGGGTCTGTCTATAAATGGAAAGTGAAGCCACATGGGTGTGTGTTCATCAGTATTGCATTACTACAATGAAACACTTGAGGTAGCCAACTCTAGAAAGAGGTTTATTTAGCTCACAGTTTCATAGGTTCAAAGGATGGCTCAGTTCTGATGAGGATCTCAGGGGGAATGGGGGATGGTGGAGCCTATGTAGAGGAAGAAACAGAGAGGCAGGAAGTGGAGTACACTGGGTGCTGAGCACCCACTTTTACAACAACCCTCTTGTTAGAACTCAAGAGGTCATAAGAGCATTACCTTTAAAGGCATGCCTCTAATGACCTAAAGATCCCCACTAGGGCCCACCTTCCTAGAATTTCTATCATTTCCCAATAGAGCCACTCTGGGGACCAAGTTTTTGCTCACAATGAACCCTTAGGGACACTCAGATGTATCATAAGTTTGAGAAGTGAGAGCAAGCCAGCAGAGGCACCCCTAAAGACCCCATGTGGAAATGGGGGCAGCCAGACATGATTATTGCCTATGCTGCCTAGCCCTAGTGTGTGGGGAACTACCACTTGGGGAAGACAGCCCTCCTTCTGCCAGAGATTGCTAAGTCTGTGTGTGGGTCAGGACAGGTCATGCCAGCTGCTGTAACAAACAGCCCCAAGTTTCCAGCTACCTAAACTCATGTGCATTCATGTGCTCCATTATTAAACTTGGGGAAAGAAACATAGCTTAAATGTCCAATGAAGGGAGAAGGGCCAATTAAATCATAGTAAATTCAGCTGTTACCAGTGGGTAGTCTTCAAGGTAAAGATCCTAGATAAGAAACAAGGTTTTGCATAGAAACACACACAAAAGTAAGGTGGCAAAGTAAAGAGTTTATAATAGAAAGTATACACACATGCACACACACACAGAGGAAAATACTCTGTTAAGGGAGAATGCAGGTTCAAGCTGAGTGGCTCAGGGTGAGCATGTGATTCCACACTTACAGCTTTCTGGGGCTGGGTGCTCTGGGAGTTGGTTCTAATAATGGTAGTGGGCTGCTTCTAGGGAAGTGGCAGGGTTTTGGATGGAATCTGCACATGGACACAATCCTCATCCCACAATATGAAGTCTGTGTGTGAAGTATGACTCATTTGGGGGTTTTCTGCAAAGGTCAGGCTAAGGAAGCACACATTTTCGCTGCTCACGTGACTCCTCTGGTTAGAACTGGCAGAAGGTTTTCTCTCCCCCTGGGAGAAGTCCTAACTGCAGACTGACCACAAATTCCCCATGGAGAGGAGTGGCCCGTGAAGGGTACTAGGGAGGAGATAAACTCAGGGTGTCCCTGGGGCGGGGCTAGGATTGGGGTTGGTTTCAGCATTCTTTCCCTGTGGCTAACCTGCCTCAGATCAACTTAGTAAAATATTATCCAGAGGCAGGAAGGGATGTATGTGTATGAAGACTCTCAGAAACTGGGAAAATGTTTTTCGATAATGTTCCTTGAAAAGGGCAGAAAGTAAAGGATCTTTAGACTGTGATAACCATACTTGAAAAAAATATATGAGAATGTGTTCAAATTTAGAAGGGACTTGCTAGAAAAAGGTGATATATTGTATACACACACACACACACACACTCACACTCACACACTCACTCACATTTGTTGTATTACTATTGAGAAGAAATGGCTAATATATGGGTTTCTTGTTGGGTATCTTGTCTTGTAAGTGATCTGGGAAAAGCTAACGGCTTTTGGTGGTGTTAGCAAAATGAGTCCCTTCCTATAGCTTAGTCTACTCCTTCCCTTCTCCACAGCTTAGCATGCCCCCTTCCTACGCAGCACCAGGCCCATGTAGTGAAGGAAGTAAATAATCAGCCTCCAGCCCCTTTATCTTGGGATGGCACTTCTCTGGGGCAGCTATCACCATAGAAGGCAACAGGAGTCTCTTAGGGTGACCTTCAGGTCTGAGCAGCTGCAGGACCCCTTATCTACTACTTGGATGGCAGCCATCAATCCTAGTTCACCATGATGAAGCCCTGGCCCACACGTCCACACCAGGGCCTCCACCTCCTAGCCCCTTCCCGCCCCTCTTAAACCTCCTAGGTTAATAGGCCACCCCAGACAATAGCCAGCGCTTCTTCTCACTCCTTTCTTTGTTCTCTGTACCAGATATCTGTGTGGTTCTCTGACAAAGTCTATTAATCTTAATTTTGCTAACAGGTGTTCTACATGCTACAAAGGACTGAAGGACAGTGACCTCAAGTGAGGTAAGTGCCAGGTTCTTGCTCCTTGTTGTTGAAATTCCTTCCAGGATGAGAGAGGAAAATGTAAAATGTGTTTCCAAAGGGATCTTTACTTTTCTTCTTCCTTTTTCTTCCTCTTCTTCCATCTCTTCCTCCTCCCCTTCAGAATCATCTTCTCCTTCATCGCCTCTCCTCCTTTCTCCCCCACCCACACAGCCTTTCTCTCTCTCTCTCATTTCCTTTCCCCATTAGGAAAAACTTATACACCATGAAGTGTGCTAGATCAAAATATATGGCTCCTTAAATTTTTATTTTTCTCCCCTCCCCTCCCCTCCCCTCCCCTCCCCTCTCCTCTCCTCTCCTCCCCTCCCCTTCCCTCTCTTCCCTTCCCCTCCCCTCCCCTCCCCTCTTCTTCCCCTCTCCTCTCCTTCCCCTCTCCTTCTCCTCTCCTCCTCTCCTCTCCTCTCCTCCCCTCCCCTCTCCTCTCCTCTCCTCTCCTCTCCTCTCCTCTCCTCTCCTCTCCTCTCCTCTCCTCTCCTCTCCTCTCCTCTCCTCTCCTTCCCCTCTCCTCTCCTCTCCTTCCCCTCTCCTCTCCTCTCCTCTCCTCTCCTTTTCCTCTATCCTTAGAACATGGCAGGATCCACAAGGCAGGAAAGGACTTCTTTTCTGGAGCTTCCAGAAAGAACCAGCCTTGGGGACATCTGTGGCTTTGGCCCAGACTTTGGATTCAGAATTCTGACCTCCAAAACTGCAAGAGAAAAGATGCTCGTTGTTTCAGTTCACTCAGTCATGGTGATTTGTTATAGTGACAATGGAATGGAATATAATTCCATTGTGTGGCTAAACCACAGTTTTGGTTCTCAATCACCTCATGCTGCATTGGGCTTTTACTCTTTAGGGTTAGTATGAATAAAGCCACTAAGAACATTCTTACAGAAGAATCTATATGATGGACACACCATCATATAGATAAGCATGGATTCATTGGGACACAGGCCTATTTTCCCAGTTGATTATACTATTTTATATTTGAAGTATGGGACCTGATCTTATTTTCTTTTTAACAACAGCAACAACAAAGAACAGGAAGACTGAGGTCATTCACCCCAAAGGGTTAGGGAATGGTGGGAATTATTGTAGCTCCTTGCTATGAGATTCCAGACCTGATCATGTTTCCAGAACCCTCTGCATGAGCTCTAGTTCGTATTTATGCCTGGATGCTTTTCATTATTTTCTTTTCCTGAAAAAAGATAGTCACCTGACCCATTGCCCCTGCCTCTGTCCTCTTTCTCTTCTTGCTGTCTCTATGAGTACACGCTGTTCTTTGTGTGGGGAAGAAGGGTGGGTGGGTGTTTTGGAGGGGGGGGACAGGTCACCACACCAGAGACCTGGACAACCTAGGAAGCGGGAGCCAGAAAGTCTAGACCTCAGGATCTTGAGAGCGACACAGGGAGCAAGAACATAACATACTGAATGCCTTTCCTGCGTGGGGCAGTCAACCATATTATTCTTCAGTTAATGGAATTTTCTTGCTTCTCTAAGTAGAAAAACACCACTAACTTAGATTCCACCCACTACAATAGCTGAAAAACAGTCAAAGAGAAGGAAGCTGGAGGAAGAGGGGGTTCCTAAGGATCTGAGGGTTTTTGTTTTTTTGTTTTTTGTATTTTTTTTGCCTACAGAAAAGTTGCCAAGATTCTAGAAGATTCCAAAGCCTTCTGAGGCTAGGATCCGGAACATGGGGGTCATTTCCCAGAAGTGATCTTGGTTGAGCTAAATTTTGACTCCTGACAAAGGGGTCTAGCATTTGGGAGTTGAGCTGGTTTATCTCCCCGTCCCCCCAGATTTCCCAAACTTGCTCAGATCTTCATGGATCTTTAGAAACCAAGCGTTAAAAATGAAAATAAAGTATAATAAAAATGTTTACCAGTTGGTTAAGAAAAAAACTTCTCCCATCTCTTTCTACTTGTGTATGTGTGTAGTAGTGCCTTCCTTGAGCAGCATGAACTCGGGTGTGTACACTCTCATAAGAACCTGTTGGTACCCAGTTTACATCTCTATAGAGTGTAATGGGCTCCTGCGTCTGCTGCACATGCCGAGAGCACTGGAACGCGTGTCTTTAGCTGTCCTTTGTGACCTTGGGGGCCAAGGACAGTTGTCTTGTAAAATATGAAGACAAGGCTGGAGTCAGCTCAGTCTAGTTTAGTGACCATTGCATGGGCAGTGGCTGCACAGGCTCTCTTGTTGGTTCTTCCTGGATGTTGGGCTGAGCGTGCTCTTTGCCTGTCTTCCCCTTTCCTAGACAGGCATAATAGTTCTTGAATCTGAGGTTGGCATGTGGTAAGGGTACACGCTGGTTCTCCGCAGCCTTAGAATGAACTCGCACAGACGTGGAGACGTCATGGGGAAATGATGCCTCGACTTGCAAGGGAAGTTATTTGGACAAGTCTCCAGCTTCCTGCCAAGTGCCCTGGCATGAAAAAGCTGCAGGAGGGTAAAGACCAGCCTTTTCTCCCAGAAAAGGGAGATACTGGATTCATACCAACACCAACTACTCTTGGTGCCAGGCATGACAATATAGGCTTGACCTACATCACTTCTTCATCTCACTATACCAAGCAGATAGGGAGACAGCAGGGCTCAACTTCTTCAGGGGCGATAGCCTGTCTCTTTCCAAATGAGGCACCCACAGTGTGTACCCCTGTGGATCTGGAATGTGGGTGCAGCATGAAGTGCAGGCACAGACCTGTCCTCTTTGGATTGGCCAGTTAGCAAAGACATCAATATTCTGTGAAAGCCCTGCTATAACATGGAATCATGGTATGTGGGTAAGAAGGTGAGGCGATGCGAGGAGTCTTTTCTCTTGCTAAATGACCTCTTCTGATCTGGAAACCAGAGGATCTACCTGCCTCTCAGGCACTGATGAGAAAAAGGAGACCATGTGGATAGAAGTGTTTTGTCAGCCAGGTGCTAGTGGCTCAGGCCTGTAATAGTAGCTACTCAAGAGGATGAGATCTGAGGATTGCGGTTCAAGGTTAGCTGGGCAGGAAAGTCCATGAGACTCTTATCTCTTATCTCCAATTAACTGGAAGTGGCGCTATGGCTCAAAGTGGTAGAGTGTTGGCCTTGAGCACAAGAGCTGAGGGACAGTGTTCAAGCTCAGAGTGCAAGCCCCATGGCTGACAAAAAAAGTGTTTTGTCAATTGCCAAAGTCCTTATAGACCAAGTGATTATTGGTCTTTGTTGAGATGGGCTCTTCTTAGGCACATTTAACAGAAAATGGCCACCAGAGAGTAGATTAGCACCGATCAAAGTGGGTGATACTGATGGAGAAGGTTGGTACAGAGGGAAGAGATGGTGTCTAGTGCAGAGGTTGTACGTACTTGGAAGGTTCTAGTGGAGGTTGTATCCAGTGGAGAAGTTATTCCTGGTGGTTGTATTCAGGGAAGATGCTGGGACCTGGGGAGTACATTGAGAAGAGCATGGTACCTAGGGAAGGAGATGGTACCAAGGGGGAAAGTTGAACCTGGGAGAGGTTCATCATCTGCTTTTGGTTGTGAGAGAGCCAAATGGCAGAAATGAAATAAGAGAGGAAGAGAGCTCCTGAGGTTGTTTACATTAAAATTTAAAAGCAGCAGCATGTCCCCAAAACTTCAACCCCCTGCCCACGGTTAGGTGCTTTCGACCATCCCTTCGTCTGCATTGGTTTTAGGTTTCTGCCAAGGAACACTAGTTAAAATTAAAGTCAACATTACCAGATCAAACTGTTCTCACATTTCTCCTGCTGGAAATACCTAAATTCCTGAAGACAATGTTTTAATTCACCACTCATCCAGTGGCATGTTACAGTGTAATAAAATACCCACCATCCTCTTCCTGCCTCCCACTCCTGGTGATTTGGAAAATGCTGCAGAACGCACCAGGACTTTCCATCAAGGGAGGTAGGTCTTCCTTTATTTGTGCTCTCCATCTATGCTGGAGGAAAGGTCTACAGCAAACCTGCAGATACTGGTGGCTTGCTCAGGACATGGGAAGGAAGTGGCTGAGTGGCAGTTGCATGAATTTCTGTCTAGCTGACACATCCCACAGCATCAGGGAGATGACCCTGGACCTATTTGGATCTAGATCCATACATTTACCCATTAAGTGTCACTGACCTAGCCCTTAACTTTGGTGCATTTACATTTGTAGTCAGGACCAAAATTCAACTAGTGCACTTCAACTTGTTATAATACTGGACTATTATCCCATTGAGTTCCAAACACCTTATTAGTGGGCATCTCTCAACCTGTGTTAAATATGACTAGTCAACACTGCCACTGCACTGTTTATTGTTAAACAATCCTTACTCAGTTTGTGGCATAATTGAAACAAATCCCTACCCAATAAGATAGAAGTAAATATTCTTCTCCCTGGTCCAGAAGAGTTCCCTCATTCTTCCCGGAGGAAAGAGGGCCTGAACCACTATCCTTGTTTTAGTGAATGAGAAAACCAAGTTTAGAGAAGATTCAATATTGATATATCAAAATCTATATCTGCTATAATTTTTTATATAAAAAATATCACTGTAATCCTACCTATAGGGGGGAGGCTGAGATTTGAGGATTGCGGTTCAAAACCAGTCTGGGCAGGAAAGTCTGTGAGACTCTTATCTCCAGTTAACTACCAAAAAAAAAAAAAAAAGCTGGAAGAGCTGTGGCTCAAGTGATAGAGTATTAGCCTTGAGAGAAAAAAGCTTTGAGATAGTGCCAGGACCTGAGTGCAAACCCCAGGACTGGCACAAGAAAAAATATAAGAAAGGAAAGACTATTACTGGAATAATCCAACTAGATAAAATAACAGGTTTGTGGCCTTTTTTTTTTTTTTTTTTTGGTTGGTTGTGGGGCCTGAACTCTGGGCCTGGGCGCTGTCCCTCAGCTCTTCAGCTCAAGGGTAGTGCTCTACAACTTGAGCCAAAACCCCACTTCTGGCTTTTTCTGCTTATGTGGTGCAGAGGAATCGAATCCAGGGCCTTGTGTGTGCAA